GACTCTCTATCTGTGGTCTGTAACCCTTCTTACCCAACACAAAAAGGTATTAATATTCTTTACTGGTACTTATCTTTTTACAACTTGATAATCATTACAAAACTCTTTTAGTTCTCTAAACAGAATTTCAAAAAACAGCTAACAGATGCAAAAGGTTAACAATCTTATATCACCACAGAGTTATTTTTTGTATAAGCTTTGTAATTGAAGCTATTAGGTTTTTCACTTTAAAACTCTGTAGTAGTTTTTAAGATGCTAAAGTAAGCCAAGTATAAAGGAAAATAGGTTTTCTTTCATTAGGTTGTCCCATGAGCACTAAGATCTTATAGTATGCATCTAAGATTGACACCTCACATATATCTTCACCATGTCACTCCTTCAGCTTTACAATCATGGGAAATAGCTGCATTATGGCTTGTACCTTTCCACTATGTTGCTTTTCAGCCTTCATCTTACCCAGTATCCATCTGAACATTATTACTCCATCACCGTGAGGTAGTTGTTCCTGTCTTCCCCGGTATATGTCAAACTGAGGCTAACTGTCATCTTGCAAAATTCACTTGTTACTTTACTTGGCATAATCTTACAGCAGAGACTTCCTACCAAATCCCTCCCTTTGACACTAAGTGCTCTTTATTTAAAATCCATCATTAAGTATATGGCTGGACGAAGGCCACCTGAGGCGAACATTCTTACAGAGATTTGAGATTTATAATAAATAAATGATGTATAGCTAATTAATCAATAAGAACAGAGATGTACATGGAAGGGATGGGATGCAAACTTAGATGACAAACAGGTAGAGATGGAATTGCATGCTTATTGAAAAAGAGGACAGAAGTATTATGAAAATTATCATATATTAGGACATGTGTTCAACTTACTGGACAACTAAAACAGATTTTTTAAACTAAACAGTAGTAAATGCTTACCAGTTTGGGAATAAGAGTCAAGAGCACTGACAGGGAACAGAATATGTGAATCATCATTCAGGACCTGCAGGGGAGTCCAACTGCCTATCTGTGAATTGCATGTGCCCCCTTCCTGTGGCCTACACAAAAATACATATGTATTTTAAATATTTGATATATATAACCATATTAATTTTGTACGATACTTTGCCATTTTCAGTCCTGCTGAAAATCCAAGGGGGGCATTAAGTGCGGACCACCACAAATACACTAATAATTCAGATACTTAAAGAAACTAAGTTGTAGTTTGATCCCTAAAAATAGGAACAAGTTTTGGGACCTCTTATGGTTAACTGAGGGAGTTTTTCTGTACTTATTAAAGAGAGGTAATCTGACATCAGGCAGAAGGCAGCCAGGGCAGCAATTTAAAGAAGAACTCCTTCAGAAAGCACAAGCTTTCATATGTGAAAGTCTGCCAGCCTGCCACGTAAAAAAGTTTATGCCTTTCTGAAGGAATTACTCTTTAAGGTGCTGCTCTGGCCTGCCTATACTAATTAAGTTCATAAAGCAAAGCAGAACTGTACAAAAGAATTTAAAGTTCACTCTCCTTAAAGAAAAATACTTACTTTTCAGAAATTTCTATGTAATCTTCCATGTCTTTATTTCCTAATACCTTTCCATAAATTTCATCTTCATTTTCATCTATATCTTCATCATCAATACTCTTCACATCCAGCTTTTGGTAACCATACTCTCCATTCAAGAATGGAGAACTGCTTTTCCACAAATGGCTGTTCTGATTCCCATTCAGATTTTGTCCAAGAGAGCCTTCAGAAGAAGGTAGTGCAAAAAGTGAAGATCTATCAGAGTTTTCCTCTGAGCTTTCTCCTGTAACTGATGTCTTTAGGATGTCTCCAAAGTTTTGCTCATCCTCCTCCTCATCAAATGAGATAATATTTGTCACCCTCTTCTTCTTCTTTCGCTCTTTTTTACATTTTAAATCTAAATGAAAAAAAACTAGTATTTTTTTAAATGCAGTTAATACCAAAAGGATATACCTATTTCATTTTAGAACATTAACCCACCTAGGAAAGAGAATAGATAAATAAAAATGTGAAAGAACGGAAGGGGGACACACAAAAATTGAGATTTTGTAAAAATCTCTGCCAAAACCATTTTCATGCTTCTAGAAATAGAAAATAGAACATTTTAATTTAAAATTGTTATTTGTTGTTCAGTAAAACTTGATTAGACAGTTCCATATGAGGATACTTTAGAGATCGAAAAGAATTCCATAGATATTCAATATTTAGGAGTACCACTGCAAACTGAAAAAAGTTAAAAATGACAAAGAGAATAACAACTGATAAAATAAGTTACAGAAATAGAAGTTATATATATGTACTTAGTATATAAATGTATTTTTAAACTGGTCTAGTATTAAAGGATCCTTAACCAAATGGTTGAGACTTTGAACAGTTTACTTTGGTAGTAAGTGCAGTGGAATTCCCTCAGAGGAAGAAGTTCAGTACATCTTAAAAGTTTCTAATTTTAACACCTGGTCCCACTACCTTCACACTTTACAAAATGCAGATGGTTCAACTAAATGATAGCTTATTATCTTTTTATCTAAGCATAATACAGCAGTTACTTGCTGTTCACCACCTAGTTTACGTAGTATACTGTTTGGTAAGTCTTATGAATTTATTTATTCAAATGTAAGTTTCCAATTTAAATTTGGAGTGCTTTAGAACAATGCCCAGTCTCTTGCAAAAACATTTAGGCCACACAAACTGCCAAGAATAGATTACTTTATTCTTATTCTAGCATAGGTTGAGCATAATTTGGGTAAAAAGGGTTTTCAAAACATCTCTCAAAGTTACCTCACTACCTAGTTTCAAAAACAAATGAAAATAATTTCTGAAAAAAAATCTATTCCTTTTCCAGAATAAGGGGAAAAACATGTTTTTTAACATTACCTTAGATTTATAGATGGGTCCTGGCACATCTTATGATAAAAATATGGCTGCTGGCATAGAGATGAAGCAATAGAATGGTTGTTTTTCATCTACACAATCCTTGAAAGGTACTTGCATATGCCACCAGCTTGCAGAAGATCCTCTGTCCATTTTTAAATGGACAGTATGTTTTAAATACCAAAAACTAAAGCATCTCTTCTTTCCCCTACTCCTACCATGTGCATTACACATTTTTATAACCCCTTTCAGTCATTATTGTAAGAAATTCTAATCTTTCCTAATGTTTGTTTTCTCAAAGCCAGATTTTTTATTTAAGGAGTGTCAACGTCCCAAGATTCTGCTTTCTACTTGCTCTCCTTTGAGGCAAGTTTAGAAGTAATACTTTCAACTCAATTTCTGGAAATAAAGATGAGAATTTATTCTCTTGATACAGCCACTGCAGACATAACAGAAGTGTACACTGCGTTTTATTGTACTATATTAAATTGATGGAAGACTCAGCTTTCAGTCTACATTTGTTGCAGCTCTTATGTTTGTGATAGCTGCATCATGGCAATGGCAAATCCAATATTGTACATGAGGTTTAAGCAGAGTGTACATTCATAATGTACATTTCTTTGTTTTGTGATTTAGTCTATATACAATGTCTTTGCCCCAAAGAGTCTACAGTTATCTGGGGCTTGCAATCTAGGTGCATCATTATAGACATCTTCCACTGTAGTTATCAATAATGAGTAAAAATATGTGCCAAAGGTAAAAACATGTAATTAAAAGGAATAACCAACATCTCCTTGGTATAATGTCATAATTTAAAAATCTGTCAAACTGCAAGTGAAAACCCCAACTGTCATGCAGAGAAAATTTGATCTTCTACTTCCAGGAGATACAGACAGCATATTACACATTCATCATAAGAAATTTTCTTTTCCTTCACACCAATATTTCTGAAGGACTTCTTAAAAAGGGAACTAGTGAGATATGATTTTAAATTTTAAGTTATATATAGAATATAGTGCAGCATAATTATATTGCTTTAAAGACAAATTATGTTTGATATTATTTTTTAAGTTCCATTATTAAATATATATATGGAGCATTTAAACACTTTTAATAAATTAAAGAGCCCTGAAATACTTACCAGCACTGGCAGTCTTTGATAGGACTGGAAGTGGGTCAGTGTCCTGATCAGATCTGATGAGAATGGAAACAGCAGAAGATGCAGTTATCTCTCTCAGAAGGCTGCTAACACCTTGGGTGGATTCTTTCAGCAGTGAGGTTACATTTTGTGTGGATTCCTTTAAAAGGTCAGAAACCGTAGGAGTGCATTTGCTCTGCCCATTTAAATCTTTGTTGTCAATGTTGATTGCAAAAAGAATGGAGTTTAGACCTTTAAAGAAAGCAAAAAAGAAAAACCATAGAGCAGCACAACTTCAGGTACAGAAACAAAGATATTCCATTCTAAACCTACATAGTCACGTGATAAAGCACTATGATATCTAAAAAAAAAACCAAAAAGATTCCATAGCTAAATTACTTATACGAGTCTCTCATACATTTTTTCTACACACTTCAGGCCACAGAAGTGATCTATTTATAGTGATCTCTTCACTTACAGGTACAATTTTCCCACCATATATGTACTATCTAACTTTGCTACATGCTATTGAAGCAATTAATTATTAAATGATCTGGGATGATAACATAGCCGGCCTATATAAACTAGCCCATATTTCTTGCTGCATACTTAATATAATTTGATGTTAAATTATGTTTTATTCTCATAGAAAAAGTAAACTTTCCAATCATATTTGCTGGTTTACATCGAGCAACAGGTGCATTTTCAGCCTCACTGGCAGAAAAAAAGTGTACGATATTATATAGAAACTATGCAATCAAGCAAGAATGTTGCATCACATATGCTGTAAAACACAAGAAAAATCTACTCCCCTCTGACACTCCTAGCACAAGAATGCATTTTAATTTCTAAGTTAAATCTTGCTATAAAAACTGTCTTTGTTCTTTTCTATTTAAGATCTACAAGTCCATGGTTTACTTTTGATCATACACTGCTACAGCAAAAACTACAGTCTATAAAAATGAATATTTGTATGGAAAAGTTGCATCTCCCACAAAAAAATTTTGCAACCTCCCAATATTGCTACTTATAATGTACATGTACCAATATCCTGGAGGGTGATTATAAAGAAGATGGAGATAGACTTTACTCTGCCTTGACTAGATGACCTCATGGACTAGAGGTCATCTGCTGTAGTCAATGACCTCATAAGGTTCCTTCCAGCTCTACTTTCCTATGATCCAATTATGTTTCATTATGGAATATGTTATCATGGCTGACATCAAAGCTTCCATTCACAGCATTACCAGCAAGCAATTCATTATTTTTAAAGGCGCTTTTGAAAGAAATGAGTACATCTTCAAAATAGTATTATTTGGCATTTGTTTTGCCAAGTCACAACCTACCAGCTGCCATGGTTGGGATCATACTAGAACGCTCTTCGTCCATCATAAAAGACCAATCTTCATAGAAGACGCTACATATTAGAAGGTGAACATAAAGCTATATCACTTCATATACTTTTTTCTTTTTAACATATACATTTTATTAAGAATATATAAGACTAAAATGTATATATAAACAACATAGACATCTTGATAAGTTATCTGATCCAAATACATTCTGAAGTGGCCCTTTAAATCTCCTGACATGGACAGAACATGGTAAATGGTAACAGAAGTTTTAGCCTATATTAAAACTAAAAATAGTGAAGCCTGTTCAAACATGGGTGGGGTATAACTAGGCCACAAAGTACTGTGAACTGACTGAAGAACTCTTCAGTCTTGAAGCTTTTTTTTCTCTTTCTTTTCTAAAAAGAAATAAGCCATTCAAGATCAATCTTGAACAATCCCGTCGGAAAGGATATAGCAAATACTTGCACTTATTTCTCGATAAATAGCTATATTAACTAATATTGCCATATCACTTGCCACTGCTTATCCATGTGTGTGTTCTCAAATAACTAAATACCAACATAATTACCAAACAATTTTGCAGCAAATTAGGAAAGATGGATACAAGCAAACAACACTAGGCAAGATCTACTGAGTTAATTCATTGCTTAAAAGCTAATATCATTATCTTACATTTAACTAAAAGGAGATGAACTACTTAGTCTATTAGTACAGCTTCAAACATTTTTAAATGTCAGTGCTTAGTCTGCCAACGAATGCAAATTTCCTTCAATATAAAGGCACTAAATAGTTACCTAAGTCGATTTTTATCTGCAAGCAGCATATGAACATATCTTTCCAGAGAATGCTCATTTAATGCACAGCGCAACCAGGCACGGCCTCTGCCAATATCTGTAGTAATTGTTTTTAAAGAGTAAAAACGTTGTAGTTCATGTTTATTCAAAACTTCTTTCACGTAGTACCAAAACACTGGCTCTGAAAAATCAATAAAGACACAAAAATACATTTAACTCACTTTGTTTTACTCTCTGCCTACCAGTCATTAAAGAAAATGCCACTCCCCATACCACTTGTCTAATTTCTAGTGACAGTTTTATCAGTTATTCCAAACCCTTTAATGGTGATGCATGTAAACTCCCCAACTAAACCTTACTGATATTATTGCTATTCAGTTGTTTTTTAAGAAATATCTATTTCCTGCTTTTGTAAACCTAATAAACTATTTCCAGTTGCTGCTGTCTTATAAAACTGATGATGCTATTTTACAGAAAAATAAAATTAGCTGTTGATTACCTTGAACGCTGGAGATTCATTTCCCAGTTTACTCTAACTTTTCCATTTAGTAGATTGCTTATTTCTACTGAATTTCACAAAAGCTATTCACATAAAACATTTGAAATAGGAAAAATCCCCACAGGATTCCATCTTCGCTGCTATAATTTAAAAGGTCGTCTAAGTCGCATTTAATTTACACTGAAGAAATGCAAAAGTCTAGAACTCCTGGTTCAGAGATGATGCATCCCCTAATTTACATTGTGCATTCAAAGTTTCATTTGGGAATGCATACTGATGCCTGTTGCTTCAAAGCATATATATATTTAAAGACAGGTCACATAACTCCAGCAGCCAATATTATACTCATTGCCATAAAACTTTCTATCACTTCTACACACAATTTGTGTATCACTATGAACTATTAATGTAGCATGAAATATACATGCTAAAAAAACAACTGAATGGCAATCGTGTCAATAAGTTTTGTTGAGGATGCTGAAGAGTTTAAATGCGTCACAACTAGAGACTACTCCTAAAGGATTCAACTAACACTGGTAATTGACAACATGGTAACAGGTGAAATTGAGAACAAGCAAGTGCAGTGGAAAAAAATGGAGAGAGAACAATTTAAACTACTCCTACACTCCACAGTTAATTTAGAACCCATCAAGAACCTCAAAGAAATACAGGCAACTTCCTTAACAGCTCAATGAAAAAGGTGTCTGGTCATTGCACAATGGCAGCAAGAAAAAACACACTTAACAATTTAGATTCATATTAAGAGCAAACTAGAGAAAAAAATGGTATTTCTATTTCATAACTATACGGCACACCTTCCCCTTGATCACTGCATTTAGTTCTAATAGTCCAGTCAAGGACTTGGTACAAATGGAAAAAAGCTCACTTAGCACTAAAAATCATAAGCGATGGAAAGAAAAAAAAATTGTGGGAAGAAATTAGCTACCTCAATCTTGCCCTTTCTTCTTTATCTCTTTTCCAAATTATACAGGCCTGAAATTTTAAGTAATGAATGTTATAGGAAAGGTCTTCCAGGAATTCTCTCTTTGTTTCTGATAAAAATGAAAAGCCTACAGACACTTGGAAGCTTTGGAGCGAGATGTGCAATTGTGAGCTGTAGTCAACATGCAAGTGGCGAGTTCTGCTGGTAAAAGCTGGTTCTTTTCTTTAGTTTCTCTGTTAATCTTCATTAAAAGGCATGTAAAAATTTAGATTGTTACACTGCTTTAGAAACCTAAAGACATTAACAAAGAAGTAAAACCACATAACCATCGTGTGCAACTCCCACAAGATTTTATGGAAAAACTTCTTTAATTTAGACAGTTATATGACTAAGGATATCTGTAGTTCTTATCCATCTATTTCTTGTGTACTTGGATCTGTTTCAAAATTTTAACTTGCGTATCTAAGAAAATGATTCTTTTAAATGTCACATGAATAGCAACACTAAAAGGGTTTGCTTCTTTAAATAATAGCCTTTCGTGACTGACAAAATGCAGTTGAGTTTCAAGAAGACAGAAAATTTGAAAAAGGAAGTGAAATTGTTACAGGAATAGAAAAACAACCATATTTCCTCTTACGTTCAATGCGAACATCATCTTTTGTCTCTGGCACTCTTTTTATTTAAAGATATTGATGGTTTTTAATAAAAAGAATGGATTTGGAGATATCAACAGCTAATACAAAATCTACAGAATCTGTCTGAAGTCTGTGCATTGGCAATTAAATACTGGCATTACATACTACAGTACCTCAACAACACATATTATATAAGAACATAATTAAATAAAATGAGATTTCCAAAAGCAATTGATCATTAACTTAAGAGGGGCCAGTCAGGCCAAAATCCCAATCCTAAAGTTGATCATTTTCCAGAGTCCATGACTATATAAGTATAAGAAGAAACAAATCAAAAAGAAAACCTATTTTATTTTTAGTAAATATAATATAATAAATAAAAAGGAAAAACACTGAAGTTATGTATGTTCAACCAAATAATGAACTACTTCACATAAATATCGTTCATATCATTTTAAAATGCCATTTTGTCCTTTTTCAGATCCAATAAATAAGCTGATATATATTATGCAACGTTAAGCAGTTGTGGCGTTGCGATGCAAGTAAGTCATTCTGGAGTGATTTTTGAGGCAGACAGGCATATTTTGAAGTTTGGCATCAGAAAGCAGAACTCTAGATCTTTCTGACAGGGAAAAATGCAAAAGAACCCAACACATATTGATGCATTGTGGCTATCCTGTGTTTAAATGTTTTGCTTACAATCAAACTGAAAAAAGTTTTGCGACTCTTTCCACTATTTTAACACTATAGTATCACTGAAGAATATTTTGGCATTAAGAGCTATAGTGGTCTTTTTGCTATTCACAAAGCAGAAGAAAGTTTTGCTTTGCTTTTAACAGACATTTTGAATAAAATACAAGTATTTTGATTTCCACTCTTCTAAGAATAGCTACTGAAATACAGCTAAATAAAAGGGGTTTTTTACATTAAATGTAACAGGACCCTGCAAGTTAATCACTTTCTGTAATATATTAAGATGGCACGTTGCAATAAGCCAAAAAAAAAAAGTTATCAACTTCTATACTCTCCACATGATCTTAAGGAAATCACTTGACTTCTCTGCTATGGTTCACCTATGTTTAAAATAAATTACATAACATCCAAGAATGGATTGATGAATCATGAATTATTCTTACCAGGTATTGTTCTGAAGCATCTGAGATTATAGGACAATATATACCAATATACAGTATTGCACAAGACCTACATAGTGGAAGAAGAGGCAGGAAAGGTAATGTATGCTGGCACAGCTCAGTAACACGTGGGCACAAACGTTCCACTAGCAACAAGCAACAACAGAAGTGTTTCACCAAGCGGAAGACAGCAACAGACCTCTGCATCTATTAAAGCTATTGTATTAATAGCAGCATGACAGCAGGGGCAGGGGTAAGGGGGAAAAGAGGTCAGATGAGAGGAATTTTAAAAAAGAATATTACAGATCCCTTCCTGGCACAATAAACAGAGATTTCCAGCCTGTCTACATTTCATTCTTTTCCTTAAACTTCAGTTAATTTCACCTTAAAATCCTTCATCTGAACAATCCACCTCTTTTACTGTCAAAAATGATACACAGCCATCTTTGCACAAAACTGTCTCATACAGTTTTGTTAATCACAGATGTCACCTCTTCCTTCAGGTTATTACCACCTTGAATACAAACCTGAATAATTTCCAAGAAAGTGGTAACTGTAAAAATTGACATTTGCATCTAGATTGAGAAAACACAATCCATCAGAAAAATAAGCTTACCAGCAAACAAACACTGATGATTCCATTAACAATATAGTCTATCACTGTTCAATGTTGCCTGTTTGCCTCCCACCCTATATTCATGTTCTCGATTTTAACTCAGCTACCGCATGTTACTACTAAGTCGTGACTGTGATCTTCTCAACAGCCAGAAAGATACTTTTCCTTCTCTCCCAAAAAAAACACTTACTTACCTATCCCCTCTATACAAAAAGATGGGACTGATGACTGGAAATGGGGGAACAAAGGACAAAGAACTGTCCTCTTAATGGCTGCCTGCTGAAAGACTGAAGGAGGGAAACTGAGGCAGAATGCCCATACAGCTCAATAGAGGGCAACAGCAGATTTAAAGAATCTTGTAGTGCAAAAACTCTGCATAAGCAAATGAATTATGTTTGTATATATATTACAACTTTTCATGCTGTTTTGACTTCTGCATATAACTATTAAAGGACAAAATGTAGGAAATCTGTACCAACAAGTTGACAGACTAGGAAAAAAAAGTCCAGAAAAAAAATCCAGCAACACCATGTCCTATTCCATATCCAATAACAAAAATTGCATTGAAGTGACAAAAGACAAAATTAGATCAAGCTACAAAACATCACAGATAAGCCACACAATTATTGACAAAACTAACTGAAGGTCACAGAATAATAAATTCCATCACATTAAAGAAAGAAATTTCAAAGTACAGTAGTGTTATATTTGGGTGCTGTTAACAGGCCAGAAAGATAAAGCCCCTTACAAATATCTTAAATTTGATATCACTTTCACAAAGACAGACTCACAAACCAGCTGAGGCTAAGCAAAGTAGACATCACCTCTGAAAGCTTAACGAAGCTGAACTATCTAAGCACTTTTGAGTGTAAGTAAGGGAAAAGGAGGGGAGGAGGATGAGAAGAGCCCACCAAAAATAATCACTGCAAACACACCATTAAACAGTAGTAAATAAGTAAATAAATAAACCCCCCCCCAACTGAAGCCACTTAAGATTTTTTTAATGTATCAAAGCTCATACAGATTCCTAAATATGTGGTGAATACCATAAAAAATATTAAGAGCAAATTCATATATGATTATGAATTTATAATGCTTTCATTTAATGCAGTGGCACAATTACACGGTGTTTTGCAATATAAACTATCACAAAATAAGTGCTCAAAAATTTTACACCATATATTTACATCTACTGTGCATTTGTGTAGACAGCATTAACATTAGGGGCCAAAAATTGTGAGATTAAACTAAATAGGTTTTTTGTTTTGCTTTTTTAAATGGATAACTTCTAGGCAGTTTTATATTGGTATATAATCATTTTTCATGAGAATGAGTACCAGCAAGCACCAAACAAT